CTGTCCGGATGGAGCAGATGGGCGAAAGACTTGATGGGGCAAGCTCACCCACTCCTCTTCGCCCCCTTGTCCCGATTGAACTTCCTGACCAGCGATCTCCCACTGAAAGTCTGGATAGATAAAGGGATCACCTCGGTGGGCTCATTATTCGCACCACAGGGCATTAAACAATTCCCCGAGCTGCAAACAGAATACGCTCTGCCGTCTAGGGAAATATTTACATACTTACGCATCAAGCATATTCTTACCACTACAAAGATACGGCACTGCGAGGCGGATCACTTAACGACCTTTGGCAGGAACTGCATCTCCCGACAGCAGGCTACCAAACCCCTATCTCTGTGCTACAACGCACTAAACGATGCGGACAGTTGTTTAAAACACCCGTATATGCTCCAGTGGGAAACTGACTTGACAGCCCAATTTCCCCTCCCTATGTGGCTACAGTTTATCCAAATCACTCGAGCGGCATCTCACAGTCTATCCCACTGGGAGTCCTACTGTAAGCTACTGATGAGATGGTACCTGGTACCCTCGCGCCTAGCCCAGATGTATCATTCAACGTCACCGACATGTTGGAGGTGCAAGAGCGGGGTGGGCACATTGCTTCACATATTCTGGGGTTGCCCCACACTGACGACGTTCTGGCAACAAGTTAGAGACATGACTAAATCAATCACACAGGTAGATTTGCCCGCACGCCCAGAGTGTTGCCTCCTTCATATCTACACTGGTTTATTACTATCTCCTCACAAAGTGGTTGTGTGCCATATCCTCCTTGCAGCCAAAATCAGCATTGCAAGCAGATGGAAAAGTTCGGACCCCCCCTCTATCCAGGAAGTACGCAATAGGGTACAATCGACTTATGAACTTGAACGTCTAGCATTCTGACTGAATGGTCGCGAGACGAAACACACTCTCCTATGGCACAGCTGGCACTCGGCTCCCTCCCCTGATAAAGTAATAAATAATAATAAATAAATAAATAAATTAAAGAATAATAATAATAAATAATTCCCACCCAGGCCTCGTTGTAGTATTACGACACCTTTAAACCTCTGAGGGCAGGACCCCACGACCCTCCGCATTGTTAATATTGATATCATCTCCCCTGATAGTCCGACATTATCGGTGCCCACGACTTCGCTAAACCCCCGACTCCACCTCAACTCACCCATAGGTGCGGTCCGTCTAACTGGCTTCTGGTAAATTGATTGGTGTATTGTAACAGTACCTCTCATCTCGTGTATTAATTGTAATACGATGTATGTTAAACCATGTACATTACACTGTTGTTTTTTTGTTGACTGAGCGGTACCTTTCACCCCCCCCCCCCTCTTCCTTTCTGTATTCCTCATACCCTCAGTTATGCCTGTACTTGTTTCCTATAAATACCAATAAAAAGGAGACATTGAAAAAAATAAAAATAAAATAAATGGTGAAATCTACAACTCTTTATTCTGAAGCTGGGCGTCTCCATCTTCGCTCCCTGTCAGTCATTGTTATAAGCTCTGTCCTTTGCACCTGGCATTTAACCAGAAAGCATACAGAGAAGAGGAGAAATTAAACAATGTTTTGTTTTTTTTTTCTCCTCTTCATGAACAATATTGTGTCCATGCTTTGCCTTGTCTGAACTGGATGTCACTTGTAACTCTGTAATATAAGATGGAACATCTCATGGGGGGGGGAAAGGGTTAACACAAGTTATGGGTGATTTTTCGAATGGTTTATTAAATGGTGTAAAATCTATATGTGTCAGCCCCCCTTAATACAATCCTTTTATCTTCTACTGCACGGAATAGTTGTACGTGTCCTTGATCTTGGTTGGGGTAATTTCTTCCACGTCACTCATTCTGTGAACGTATCGGCAACATTTTAACCTGATCCCTATTTTACATTTTAGGATAGGACATAGGTGCAATTTCTCTAACAAGAATCTGGGAAATGTGCCAAATAAAATATTTTTTATCATTTTGTCTAATGTTTTAGATCTTTTATTCAGGTTAAAGTACCATGTTTTACAGTAAGAGAAGCTGTGCTCCACTTATAATAATTATTGTAATACTCTAGAACCCAGGAATAAATATTCATGAACAAGCAGAATAATAATTCATACATTAACAGCTTTTACTGCACTTGGGCTCACTGTGACTGTTAGATGGATGCGGAATTAAAAATAAAAATGAAAAAAAAAAAAGATTCGTGAGACCGTAAATTGTGTTCAGTATTTCTCAATCTGCTCAAAAGAGCTTGCAATCTACACGCTCAATAGTATGTGCTGGGACTGAGTGATTGTTAAAGCAAAAAAAAAAGTTTTAAATTAGATTCCATAGTGTGATATTACCATGTATCCCTACATATCAGATGGACAAAGACTTTATCTTTATGGGTGTGGCCGGGGAGAGGCTATTCTGAGAAATTTTAGGTGACTTACTTATAATTAATGCAACTAAAATGTAATTTAGAACAAGAAAAATGTATCCTATTTACTCCGACTGATTTCTAAACACATTTATTGGAGTATAAAGACACACCAACAATATGGAGCTCCTAGAAAAGAGGGACGTTAGGATAGAAAAGAGGGACAGAGGGATTTGAGGCTAAAATAGGGACTGTGCCTCCAGTGGCGAAACCGACCTCACCACTGGGCATTGGAGAAGACTGATTGCCAGCCTCCTGCCATGTGACTATTGCCCTTTAAAGACATTATTTGGGCATATTGTGTTTTATTATGCTGCTGCTGGCCCTTTAAGAACCATCTGGGGACATACTGTGGAGTTACTGGGTGGCCACCATTTCATGTATCAGAGGCACATGGTGAGAACAATGGATGAAGCACATGGTGAGAACAATGGATGGCGGTCATTTTAACTCACAGACACTGTTTGGACTTTTCTACACTGTGCCATCGCGCCGGTATTTGGTGCACAAAGACATTGTGCAGTAGTTTTAAACTATACAATAGGGGACACATTATACAGTAATTATTTTTCGTATAGCCTGTATATGTTCTGCGGAATCTGCATTAAACTGTATCTTCCAAACTACTGAACGAATTTGGGTGAATTTCGGATATGTGGTTCACCCAGATCCCCTGATTCCGAGGATATACTTTATGGGGTTATTGCATGTTTTGTGGTCCCTGTGATATGTTTTATAATACTGTATTTCTCTGCCTGTGATAATTATATTAACCATTGTGTTCAGTAATCATATCACAGGCAGAGGGGAGGATTTTGTGTGGGAGTGTCTGTGTTTATTGTACGGATTGATTGGTTGTATTTCAACACCCTGTGGGCAGTACTATGTTTGTGGATTGTGAATAAAAGAGGCTGTATGTGCCAGTATGGTCAGTTCTACTTCATCCTCAATTTGGAGTGCCGTCTCTTATTGGGGGAATCTGCTACAAGGGATTGCTATGCTCTGCATACTCCCTTGCTATGTTCACTGCTAAGCTCTTGTAAGAGCTTGTTCCTGTCTTGCTCGCTGGAGGAGTCTACGGTGGTCATGGTGTCTGCTGTAGTGCTTGGAGTACTCAGGAAGCACTAGGAGCATCCTGTAATGGAGGTACCCAGTCAGGGTGCCCGTCGATCAGTTACACCTCCTAAATAGGGACCCTTGGAATGTATGTAATAAGAGCTTTAATATCCGTTTAGTTTGATAACGAGCTTGAAATCTGCTCTATGGTTTCAAATAAACCATACAGAGCTTGCAGTCTACTCTAGATTATTAAAACGAGTGTAAAAAAACTTGCCATTTTTGTCCCATCATCAAGCTGCTCTAAACAGCTTACAATTCGTTCTCCACCTTTCAGTTGTGCTGTACAATTTGTCCAATGTGCTCTGTGCCTTTCCAGTACTCTGGCTATGGTGGGTACACAAGGTTTGAGATAGGATTTACATGAACGCAGTATTAGTCTAATGTCTCTCTTTTTCTGTCTCTTTTGGGTATAAAGACAGTTGGGCCCCAGGATCATTTGGAGCCAGTTCTGCCAGTAACCCACCGCACTTGGCACATTTTGTCGTGAAGGGGAAGGGTGATCATGTCCAGATTTAGTGTGTGTTTGTTATATAGCTGAGCAATACTCTCTTTCCACCAGTATGCAGATTTCAAAGTCAGGTGCACTGATGCACACACAGAACCTCTTACGTTGCCATTTTATTAACCTTACGTGGTATCTCTGATCATTGCTGATCAAGGAATGCCCTGTACAGGAAGAGACTCACACAATGCAATCCTACATTACATCAAGCATTTTATTACTTTATTTAACCTCTAACTGCCAACAAAGCTGTATGCATAGTCCTTTCTAGGAGCAAATGGGTTAAACGATCCAATACCCTGCCAAAAGGCTTTTCGCACGCCTCGACTCCAACTCCCAAGATAACGAGCCAAAAAACTGCTAATTTGAGTGCAAACATGGCCCATCATTTTCAGACTGGCGCAACATTCGTAAAGCTCTAAAAGCGGTGGAATGAGTAGGAAGATTAATTTGGTTTCTGTGGTGATTGCTCCTGTCTTAGAACTTTGCCCCAGAACTGCATGTTAGCCCATGCCCTCTGTTTGCCAAGGCTTTGTGGCCGCAGATCCCTATAGACACTGAGGGCAGGGATCGTTACAAATCACAGACTAATCGATCATCCCTGCTCCGACACCCCTTTCCTCAAACCCTGCAGTTTGTTTTACAGCTAATGAATCAGCAGTTGGCATGCCATTAATTCACAGCCAAATATTAACTGCTCCCTAACACCTCTACCTCTCCCGTACCAGTCCACATACATTATATATGACCTTGTTTCCCAGATGAACTCACTGCCCCCTCTCTTCCTGTGCCTATTTTGCCAGTGACAGGCATGAAGGCCAGCTCGTCACCTCTGCCCCTTATTCATTCTTCTCATCCATCACTTGGCTCTTGGCAACCCTCTGTATGATGTGAGGAATGGACTGGAGGTGGGTGGGCTGTCTGTGGGTTTTAGAAGACTGGTACTCTCCCCCTTCATCTTTTCTGAACTGCTTTATAGATATGTTGGCTCATGTTTGCTCGTTGGATGCCTGAGCTATGTATAAGGAAGAATTTCCCACTGGGGGGAGAAAGGATAGCAAGGCATGAAGGCAGTGCAGCTCTGCGCTCTGTAATTCAAGCCTTTCCTTCTACTGGGATACTGCAATTCACCTCTGCATTGCCCTGCTGCAACATCAACTACTCTGCAGCGAGAGATCGCAAACTTCTTACTTCTCCCCATCCTGATCCTGGAGCAACTACGGCTTTATACAGCCAGCCAAGAGACCAGTGAGTGACCCGTTTCTATAATTCTTCACTTTGTCCCATCTAACCTTGTGACCAACTAACAGTATGCAAAAAAAAAAAAATAGATGTTTTACATTGCAATTTTATTCCCTTACTAGCAATCTCAGGTTTTAGACATTGTACTGAGCAGCAGATGGCATTATCTAGCATAAATGTAAATTCTTCCACATCAGACCTTCATAGTTTGGGGTGTTTTTTTTCTGTTTGTAGCTGTAAGTCCAAATAGCTGACGGGCAGAATTTTTTTTTTTTTTACCCTGACCAAGAAGGCTTGCAATCTGAATCGATGATGGTAATGAGCAGTCAGTGCTTATTAAATGTAAATATACTTTAGTTACAAGTGTGAGACATGGAGAGTTAAGAATTAAATTGGTGTTTATACAATTGTAAAATATGTAAGAAAATATTTAATTTTTTTTCCTTTTTTTAAATTTAATTAATTTAATGAATTGCTTGTTGAGACTGGATTAGCCCAAAGCCCAAATGATCTCTATAATAAGGTTATACCATTTAAACAAAATCATATTTGTTTGCATTCGAGTATTTAAAAATGATTATTACGGTTACGTTTCCACTGATATATATAATATTTAAGGATGAAAGTCTTATTAAAGGCATTAATAAAGGTCTATAGAGGTTTCTAGACTGTATCACTAATTGCTTCATTACAGTTTTTTTTCTGTACTCATTCATCTACATCTTGTCCTTGCGTTGTAATCCTTATGGGGATGCTTCAGATAAACCTAAATCAATCCATTTTATTAGACTGGAGAAATATGTATTTATTTTAATTATACAGACTAATTTTACAATGTAATGGCCAAACTAACTGGTAGGAAATTAAATATATTTTTTTTTTGTTTTGTTTTTAAATATGTCATGTAGCCATATTTTACTTTGCAAACTGCACTTTAAAATGAAGAAGAGAAATTAATTTTTGTTTTTTGAAAATAAATTTTATTTCAGTTAATTATTTGCTGAACTCTTTTTCACAAAACTTTTTCACAATAGTTAAACTTTTCATTGACAAATTCTAAGACAAAATAACCATTCAAAACGGGACACTCCAGGCTCCCACACACATTAGATGCACTGTGTAGGTTAGGTTACAGTTAGTTATACTGGGTGGGTTAATATTATTAAAGGGACACTCCAGGCTCCCACACACGTTAGATGCACTGTGTAGGTTAGGTTACAGTTAGTTATACTGGGTGGGTTTATATTATTAAGGGACACTCCAGGCTCCCACACACGTTAGATGCACTGTGTAGGTTAGGTTACAGTTAGTTATACTGGGTGGGTTTATATTATTAAGGGGACACTCCAGGCTCCCACACGTTAGATGCACTGTGTAGGTTAGGTTACAGTTAGTTATACTGGGTGGGTTTATATTATTAAAGGGACACTCCAGGCTCCCACACACAGTAGGTGCACTGTGTAGGTTAGGTTACAGTTAGTTTTACTGGGTGGGTTTATATTATTAAAGGGACACTCCAGGCTCCCACACACGTTAAGTGCACTGTGTAGGTTAGGTTACAGTTAGTTATACTGGGTGGGTTTATATTATTAAAGGGACACTCCAGGCTCCCACACACGTTAGATGCACTGTGTAGGTTAGGTTACAGTTAGTTATACTGGGTGGGTTTATATTATTAAAGGGACACTCCAGGCTCCCACACACGTTAGATGCACTGTGTGGGTTAGGTTACAGTTAGTTATACTGGGTGGGTTTATATTATTAAAGGGACACTCCAGGCTCCCACATACGTTAGATGCACTGTGTAGGTTAGGTTACAGTTAGTTATACTGGGTGGGTTTATATTATTAAAGGGACACTCCAGGCTCCCACACACGTTAGATGCACTGTGTAGGTTAGGTTACAGTTAGTTATACTGGGTGGGTTTATATTATTAAAGGGACACTCTAGGCTCCCACACACGTTAGGTGCACTGTGTAGGTTAGGTTACAGTTAGTTATACTGGGTGGGTTTATATTATTAAAGGGACACTCCAGGCTCCCACACACGTTAGATGCACTGTGTAGGTTAGGTTACAGTTAGTTATACTGGGTGGGTTTATATTGTTAAAGGGACACTCCAGGCTCCCACACACGTTAGATGCACTGTGTAGGTTAGGTTACAGTTAGTTATACTGGGTGGGTTTATATTATTAAAGGGACACTCCAGCCTCCCACACACGTTAGATGCACTGTGTAGGTTGGGTTACAGTTAGTTATACTGGGTGGGTTTATATTATTAAAGGGACACTCCAGGCTCCCACACACGTTAGATACACTGTATAGTTTAGGTTACAGTTATACTGGGTGGGTTTATATTATTAAAGGGACACTCCAGGCTCCCACACACGTTAGATGCACTGTGTAGGTTAGGTTACAGTTATACTGGGTGGGTTTCTATTATTAAAGGGACACTCCAGCCTCCCACACACGTTAGATGCACTGTGTAGGTTAGGTTACAGTTAGTTATACTGGGTGGGTTTCTATTATTAAAGGGACACTCCAGCCTCCCACACACGTTAGATGCACTGCGTAGGTTAGGTTACAGTTAGTTATACTGGGTGGGTTTATATTATTAAAGGGGACACATGGTTTCTACACAGACGCTTGCTCAGAGTGAAGATTTTGCTAATGCATTTTTGACGATGGCTGGAATTGCCTGCTTAGTAAACACATTTCTCCATCACAATGAATTCTTTATCATTCATGAAACCAATCTGTTTTCAGACTGTTGAAATGCAATAATGTCCTTGGCATTAATACATTATCTGTCTGTCATTATGGTTGCTATGGTTGTATCTGCTTTTCCATTTCAGCGTTTATACAGCTTGTGAGTTGGGAAAAGGTAACACTGATTGGTTTTGTGCATCAATCTGGCCTTGTTACCACAAATGTTTTTTATTTAGATTAGATTTTATACACGACCTATGTAACCTCACGGGCAAGGTCAACTCCAAGCTCCAAGCATTCACGTGGTTTATTTTCATATAACCATGAAATTTAGTAAGCACTTGTAACATGTTCTACTATATATCAAACACGGTCAGATTAATTCCTTTTAGTTAATAAAAAATGTTTTCTTGGACCGGCTCTTTAAGGATGTAGCACAGGGAAAATATAGTCCAAGTTTACTGGACTTGCCACGGATGTTCCCTGTTACATACTTACAGCTATAAATGCTATTCAGTAACTATTTTGAATGCATCATGCTATTTCTCTTATTATGATATATAGGCTGCCCAATGGAATAATGTAGGCCAGTTTTTAAAAATTGTTGGGTATGTTTACTTTAATGACTGACCTATAAATCCACAATGTTACACATACTCTTTCTGAAGGTTGTTTGACTTGAATTTCCTAACGTAAAGGAAGTATCCTCAGTTGTATATCATCACCATTGCTAAACCACTGCTCAATTCTCTGCTATTTAGAAGTTGACGGGACACTGTGGCTCATTGAGGTGGTCTGAGTGTAATGTCCCATGTCCCTTAACCCTACAATGGTAATTATTGCAGTTTCTGAGAAACTGCAATAATTACCTCTGAGGGTTAACTCCTCCTCTAGTGGCTGTCTACAAGATGTTAATCCACCCCAGCATTCCCAAAAGTAAGGAGGCTGGGGGGATTGAATAAAAAAAAAAAAAGTGAATGTGTTAATGTGTGTGTATGTGTTAATGTGTGTGTGTGTCTGTTAGTGAGTGTGTGTGTCTGCTAGTGACTGTGTGTGTCTGTTAGCTAGTGTGTGTGTGTCTGTCCGTGAGTGTGTATGTATATTTAGAAGGCGGGGGGGGGGGGATACCTGAGTTTTGTCATGCCTAGGGCAGCACAAAACTAGGGTACACCACTGGGCATGTACATTGGCTTAGTGCAGGGGTAGGCAACCTTCAGCTCTACATATTATGTGGACTACATCTCCCATGATGCTCTTACAGCCATAATTCTGGCAAAGCATCAGGGGAGATGTAGTCCACAACATTTAGATTGCCGAATGTTGCCTACCTCTGGTTTAGAGAGTCAACTGAGCAATTTCAGCTTCTGTTAGTTCAAGGAAGACAACCGACGGACCTTAGATAGGTTGTCAGATCCTTCTCAAATAGTATGACAGCTTACATAGGGAGGGCACAAGAAGCACTTCTGGCACCATAACTGCTTGGAGTTTAATCTCCGCTGGAGATGTTATCAGTAGCATTCGTAGAAATATAGATAAAAGATTGAAACGATACAGCATTTCTCACCATTATCTCTCCCTTCTTTTAAGAGTTTTATATGTAAAGTGTAAACTCTATCTACAGACTTTTTTTGCATTGCATTCAGCTTTGAACACTTGGCAGATACACAGATTATCGAGATTCTCACACAGATGCTGATATTTGTAAGCCCATTCATAGGTACAAACTGCTTGCCATACAGATCATTTAAGCATGACTATGTCAAATGAAAGGTCTTTCACTTTTTCCAAGTGGAGTTGGTGATCTCTCCCAAGTGGAGAAAGTTTTTTTTGTTTTGCTGTGCACCCTACACTATATCTCCATACTTTCCAGGCTAAGGTTGGTAGGATAGGGTGGTTGAAAGTGAGTCTGGCAGGCTGGTGTGCCAGTCATGCAAATGCTATCCGTGACGATGTGTCTGCCCATGGCCGTGTCAGTCTGGCATGGGTGAGTTCTAGGATGATCAGTTGCGTTGCAGAGAACTGAATCAAAGCTATCCACATGCTGAATATTAAATGCAATTATAGTGTGTTTAAACATACGCTCTTACTGCCCTTTGGCCAAGTTGTCCGGACACTGTGTGACAGAGGCAATCTATTGGACAATTGTGATAACTGCTTGTGTCTTGTCTGCCACACAATAAAACCATGTAACAAGTGCTTAACCTCCCTGGCAGTAATCCTGAGCGTGGCTAGGGGTTAATTTTCAGTACCAGAAGTGATAACCCCTAGCCACGCTCGGGATTACACTGTAGTGTCACTTACCTTGTCCCTACGAGCCCCTGGTGTAAAAAATACACACAATACATTGTAAAAACAATGTCCCACTTTAACATTAAAAAATACTGATCTAATCAGACCATCAAGGAGGTTAATATGCTGTTCAAAGAAATGTAAATGGGATTATTCTAGTCTTTTCTCAATTTTTTATTTAAAGAGACACTATATTCACCAGAACAATCAGAATTGACAATCTCAGCCAATCCAATCTGGCGGACCCACGCAACGCTGGAATAAAGGTGTGTTAAATAAATTTTTAAAGGGAAAAAAGATTGGGGCAGCCACCTAAATAGTTAGCTTAACACCATACTGTCAGGAATACACATTTGATGTGCTTTCATAAAGAAGTGAGTTTTCAATGATTTTGTGAAGGAATGAAGACTGGGTGAGCGTCTAACGGAAAAGGGAAGGGAGTTCCACAGGAACGGTGCTCTGGAGAAGTCTTAAAGGTGAGCATCATAGGTGGGAGTATGGACAGAAAATCAACACAGGTCTTCAGCAAAACATCAGGGCCTAGACAGGACATACTTGTGTATTAGGAAGGGGAGGTAGGTAGGTTGGAGCGTATTATATAAAATTTGTATGTAAGTACCAGAATTTTAAATTGAGCCCTATATCTTACGGGAAGCCAATGTAGGTACTGACAATGGAGGGAGGCATGGGAGGTGTGGGCCAACAGGAGGTTGAGCCTCGCCACCTAATTTATTATAGACTGTAATGGGGCAAGCTGGGAACACGTAAGACCACTAAGAAACAGATTGCAGTAATCAAGGCGAGAGAGGATAGGGGCATGGGCCAGCCCCTAAGCCGCGTTCTGCGTTAAATAGGTGTGGAGACACACTATGTTTTGAGATGGAAGCAGTAGGATTTGGTGATCAACTGGACATGAGGGGTGAAGGAGACCCTTGAGTTGAAGAGAACACATAGGCAGTGAGCCTGCTAAGTAGAGCTGATGGTAGTGCCATTGACTTGGAGGGAGACAGAAACTGGAGGAAACGTGGGATACTTGAGGAAGGAAAGACAAGAAGTTCTGTTTTGGACAGGTTAGGTTTAAGAAAGTGAGCATCCATCCAGTTAGACATAGCAGATAGACAGTCTGAGACATGAATCAAGAGGGACGTCGAGAGATCAGTAGAGGATAGATTTGCATGTCATCTGTATAGAAATTGGAGTGGAAGCCAAAAAAAACTGATAAGTTTACCCATATCACATGTGCAAATAATGCTCAGATTAAAAAGGGAGGGATGCTAGGGTTGCCATATTTTGTTATATTTAGAGCGTTAATGTTGATATCTTGCTGTTGGTTCTTCCATGGAGTTAATATAAACTACCTTTCTGAGCAAATTATATAATGAGAGAGCTTGGGGGAAAATTTTTTTGCAATGCAATTGGGGGCTGCAGTACAAATCCTATGTGTTAATTTTTTCATGCTCAAAGAGTTTTGGGACCCTATAGCTGAATGTGTGGCCTTATAGCTCAGGATCTTTTTGACCTTCATCTGCTCTGCTCTGCATGCCCGCTTCCAGACTCCTCGCTGAGTCCCGGAGTCAGCCAGCAGCAGAAACAATGATAGAGATGCACAGGAAACATGATAGAATGTGACATTACCTCTGGGTCTCTATTGCTGCACTTCTTTCCATCAACCAACCTCCAAGGTACAGAGCAATTTTTATTATTATTTTTTTTTTTATTGTGTATGTGTATGCCTATATGTACATGTCAGTGCCTATCTGTCTGTGTATGTATGTGTTGGTGCACGTCTATGTGTATCTATGTGTGTCTGTAGGTAACTGTGATTGTGCCAAGAGACAACATGCTAAGCAGTGGAATTAGGGAGGAGCACAGGTGGGGGTTTAGGAAGGGGTCACTAAATTATTTTTGGGCTCAAGCCTCAGGTGTTTTTTGACCCTAGCAACACCCCAGATAGAGATTGCTCCCCCTTTTATTATGTCTGTATCTATAAATGATAAAGTTGCTGTAGGAGACTCCATTCCAAGTTTATAAAAATGGGCTAGATTTATTCAGCCCGGTTAAAAATGTAATTGTGACTAAATTCAACATGATGAAAGAATAATTTCTGAATAGGTTTTGGGTCCTTAAACAGATGTTACTAAACCTTCATATAGTCCTAAAAATATTGATATTTGTTTATGTGGGTGAAACGGTTTACCTTTATTAATGGCTGTGACACAGGAACCACTTTGAAGTGATAATTCTCTAATACAATACAGTGTGTTGTGACTTTTATATCTCTTGAGAAAGGTGCGATTTGCGCCGAAACGCGCGTCGAGTTGAGAGCACTCCAGAGCACTATTCACTGATGTGCACTTAGTTTGTTTCACAGTGTGGCTAGGTTGTTTGGCTGTTTCAGCTTTAGGAAAGGGCTCCTTAGTGGGTACTGGGAGCTGCCTCGAAGCAGTTCAAGGGAGTTATTAGTTTATCTAGCATTAAGATTGACTCATAATCTATCTAATTTTATTAGCAGTCATAGGCAGAATACATATTGACATTTTGTTCATATAACTTAGCGCTGCCGTATCGTTACTCCTTTTTCTAAGTAACCATCTAATTATGCCATTATGGCTCAAGCAGTTTATTTAGTGTGTATATCTGTTATATAACTGCATCTATACCTACTTCCTGCCTACTACCACATGAGTAAATTGATTACTTAATTTCAACCTCTCCTAAGCAAGAGCTCTTAAATAATACTTTGTAATAATCTATCTGATATATTGCGGCAACGTTGCCTAGACACAGAATGTCCATTTTTATGACACTCCTCTTCTGTGATCTAAATGTATTAACTAGTTCTTTACTGACCTTATATCTAACTGTGGTTAATCCCCCTTTTTTCTGTTGAAGAATATCTGTTGTTACAATATTTTGTACCACTAGCCACTATAAGTTTGTTCACGTTTGTAGATACGTTTTTTCCTTTTTTAATCTTAATTAATAAAGTTCTATGTTTTTATCCTAATGAAGTGGCTTTTACCCATTTATAGTAATCTCGTAGTGAAACTCCCACTCTGCTTGGTTTCTCTAACAATTTTTTGCATCTATATTGATCAGTAAGAGTTACCCCCTGTTTGAGATTACTTCAGTAACCATATGTGAGACTCCTACATATGATTCATATGCAGTAGTCACTCTTTTATTTATTCATTTTTTTGTGTGACAGATTTATATTAACATTTACGTACTTGCAAAACTTACTGAAATCACATATGTTTTTGTATTCAACACAAAGAGGAAAAAGTTTCCTGGCACTCACTGGGGATAGGGGCATAAAAAATGGCTTCCTTTAGTCTGCCAAAACCTGTATGTACAACCTAAAACATATTTAATCTTGTCCAGGGTGTAGAATTTTTACTTAAACATTTAAAAGTTACAAAAGTGTTATTTTGCAAAGTGCCAATTTAGATTTCATTTATGGTTCCCCTTCAGAACTATTTCAATGTGTTCTTGTGCAACGACAAAGGCGTCCCTGAGAGGAAATTTCTCTCTATTAGCAATGAATAGAATCTTTCCCCAGCTCGGAGCTGAACATTTTTCATTGCTGTACAGCCCAAGGAAGGAGTATAGCTCGCATTCAATGCAGTCTATAAATTTCAGTCTGTTTTCCCTATTTCGTGGTCGGGATGCGGCTGGTCGATGAATCACTTTGCTGACTACACATGGCATGTTTGAATTGGAGTTTAAACTGTTATTAGGGGTACGGGAAAATTGCTAGAATCTGCAAATGGTTTAGATGTGATGAGGGAACCAAGAATAGAAACGCAATATTGAAAAGGCCTGACCGCCATTTAATGTCTGGAGATCTAATGTTCCACTTGACTTCACCGCCATTTATTTCACTTTCCTAGAGAAAGGTTGTAGATGTCTTCTGGCTGGCAGAAATGGCAAGGTGTCTCATCTTCTTTATAAAAATAAATGTAATTCCATGGTCCGGTATAATATTAGGAAATAAAGGCAACATGAGGTTACAAGAGTTTTTATTAAATGGACACTGCTTACACTCCTTGCATAGAAGCTCAGTAAAAGCTTAAATGGATTCTATAGGCACCAAAACCACTTTAGCTTAATGATGCCCCTGTAGTCTCACTGCTTAATTCTCTGTAATTTAGGAGTTAAAACAATGTTTTTAAACAACTCTAGTTACACCTCCCTGCCTGTTACTTACACAGCCTTCCTAAACACTTCCCGAAAATGAACCTAGACATTCCATGTTCCTTTATTGCCAGTTCTGTTTAAGCTAGTATTTCTTGTCTCCTGTTCTGTCAATAGCCTCCTAGATCCTGCAGGAGAGTCCCGTGTCTGGTTAAAGGTTAACTTACAGAGCAGGGGGATAAAAACTTCTAAAGCAAGTTAACATCTGATTGAAAATTAAACTTATTTTTTACATGCAGACTGGTCATTGCTGCCGCCCAGGAGTAGTGGGAGTTTGAGCACAGGACTTAGTTTTGTGTGTCTGCAATTGTATATACCTGAGGTCTTTCAAAGCATTGGATACATTTACATATATATATATATATATATATATATATATTTTTTTTTTTTTTTTTAAATTGTGCTGATTCTGCACTACTGTTTCCAATTAATCCTGTCCCAGATAACTCGTTCGTGAATATTACTCACACCAGCAGTTTTGGTTTTTCCTTGTAATTGTGGTCAGTTTTTTTTTTTTTTCGTTTTTTTTTCCTTGGCATAACCCTTTAGGAAATGAGTCTGAATCAGTTGCCAAAAACTAACGCAATAATCTACTCTGTGCCAGAGACAAAAGGCAGGATCAAATATTTATTTTCATTATCCGCACCCACAGAGTTATTCACTAAATGTGAATTGCTGGAAATTCAAAGTCAATTTAAATTTCAGGCCAAAGTGACAGAAATTAAAACATTACTGACCAGGAGAATTTATCCAGATTAGCTGTTTAAGCCTAAAATGTGAAAATCATTGCTTTAAAGGAACACTGTATGGTCAGAAACAGAATCGTGTATTCCCGACCCTATAGTGGTAAAAACACTATTTAGCTTACTGGCCCTCCTTACCCACCGTTAAACATAGTAATAACTTACCTTATTTCCAGCGCTGGTGTTGGCTCTGCCCCCGAACCGCCTCCTTGGCTGACATCACAATTGACTATATCGGGCCAATCACATAGGAAAGCATTGGCTTGGCTGAGATGGTCAATTCTGATTATCTCAGACAAGGAGGCGGGGGCGGACCCAAAGACTGCTCTGACCAATCAGCAACTCATAGAGATGCACTGAAACAATATATCTCTATGGAGAAAGTTCAGTGTCTCCATGCAGAAGGTGGAGACACTGAATACCAGTCACACTGTGCAGCATTCTCCCAGGAAGCATCTCTAGTAGCCATCTGAGGATTGGCCACTTGAGGTATCCCTAGGCTGTAATGTAAACACTGTCTGTGACGGAGCTCCTGTACTCTAACGGAGTACCTCCGCCCAGTTCGCTTCCTAGTCGCTTGTCCGGATCCTGGAGCACTTCAACCCTAGTCACTGAGGCTTGACTGAAGTTTTTCTGGTGCCTTTCCACCCAACCAGGCTGCAGCTCTCCTTCCATTTAGTTGGTAACAAGGATCAGCGGGACAAGAGAGCACACAAAATAATAAAAAATATACAAACACCCTGCACCTATAATGGTCACAGGGTGACAAAAACATAAGAGCAATTTAGGAACCTTTGTAAAATGTCCTGCTCCCAGTGATGGTGATTACCGTTCACAGCAAAAAGCCTGCAGGGACAGGGTACGGGGACAATAAGTTGTAGTTGTTCTGGTGACTATATTGTCCCTTTAATTACTGACATGGTTATACACTAAACTCTGAATTGTAGAATTAAAAATTTTGGCAAACATCTGATTTAAAGAAATTCTTCAACTACACAATAGCCGCAGCATGGCTACTATGTGTCTTAATTTATGTAAAGTTGCTAGAATTCAGAATTTAGCAACTAATTCTATAAACTTTGAAATACAAATCACAAATAATTAGGCTAAATTAGCTTATTTGAAAAATAATTCTCCAACTTGTCTATAGTTGAGATTGATTTCTTAACTCTAAGGTTAGTCATAAAAGCTGAAATGTATTCAAGAAACCTAAAATTTGCAATAATATTAACATATAGTCACAAGTCAGAGACTGCAGATTTTGAAACCTTTTCTAACCCTGCTATTTTTCCATACCTGACCTCAAATAAGCTGAGATTCACTTGTCAATTCTGCACAATTCGCAGTTCAGTAAATTAACCCCAGAACTTGCTTTGGAGTTTTAGGGCTACAGTATATGTTGTTGCTTGGACTTTGTTGCTGTTTTATTACATCAGTAGATGAATTGCAAATCATTTTACTGTGTTACTAGATTAAACACAATTTCTATTATTCATGCATACATTATTCTCATTGTGCTCCCTCTCACATCTCATAAATAAGTGATTCTGACTCCTGATGCTTGGCTGCTGCCAACCACGTTTGCCAAAAGATACCTACCTTCAAGAGTGCCAGTTCCAAGACTGTATCCTGGCATCAAGCCATCGTCTTGCAGTGATTTCTGATCACACCCTTGCCTCTTTAATTTAATCGTTTTCTCACAAACCAAGCTTCCCTCAATGCAGATGTCTTCACACAGGCACCAAATTAACAAATTCTGTTCAAGATTGGCATCCCTGTTGATGGTTGAGAGAGGGCACCACATCAATTCTGGTGGCTGATAGCGAGCCGAGCACTGCTTTTGTGGGTGAGAGAGGACACTCTGGTCGGTTGGTGAAACAAGAAATCTCTGTTCTCGTTTGTTAGACTAAAGACTTGGTGGTGGTGTAGGGAAATCCACCCTTGCTGGTTGTGGAGAGAGGGCATCCCTTATGGTGGCTGAAAGAGGACGCTCTTGTAGGTGGTTGAGTGTGACACCTGTGTTGAGAGAGAACCGCTCTTGGTGGTCGCATTGGATTCCAGTGTTGGTGGTTAAGAGGGACTTGTGTTTGTGGTTGAGAAAGGACAACTTTGTAGATAGGTGAGAGAGAATATCTCTGCTGGTAGATGTAAACGCCAACCATCCATAAGTGTAAAATGCATGTAACAAAAATGTTAAAAAAAAATCCCAGAATATTCTACAGTGGACATGATACTAGACCCATTTTGGTGGTTCAGGAAGAGCATCCATGGTGGTGGAGAGACGGCATTCCTTGTGGTGTTCGAGAGGACATCCATGTTGATGGACATACAATGGCATGTGAATAGGTAGTTATGAGATTAACACACCTCTACTCAAGCACCAAGGATGCTATGAAGCTAAATTTGCCATTGCTTGTTTTAATTTACATGAAAATAAATTTCCTCTTCATCTCTACGCAATCTTCACAGTGGGGTCTGCAGTTCTGTACTGATATTTCCCTGGCAGTAAATTTCAGAGCCGAGATATTCTGCCTTACGTTCAGGATCCCTATAAAGTATCTCCAGATGTTCCAAGAAGAAGTAGTTAGACAAAGTAAGAGAAAAACCCTTTTCCTTTGCGGGATATGTACAACCGTCTAAGCATTTTCAACTGTATGGCAGCTTTGTATTTGCTTAGCAAATCAAGATATAAGTTGTTTCATTAATTAAAAACAGTAATGACGCTACTTGCACAATAATCCTAAATCTACCACCACTTAACCCATTCAGTACCATATATATACAAGCCTGTGGGAAGTTGTCAACTGTCTACTTATACAAATGACCTGGTACCATTGACAATATTATGTTCTTGTTTAAATATAATATATTCTGTATATTAGAATTGATTTTTTTTCACTAATTTACCAATAAAAAATAAAACTAACTATTCCTTTAAAGAAAAGCTCATTTCTAATCGGTCCTTTCAAACCTCTGCATCACTCATACAATGTAAAATGATTTCAAAAAAATGAATTAAAATATTGCAGACGTGCTAATATCCACTGACTTAAATGATTTAAAGGCTGTTTTTATTAGAGGAGTTGGCAATCTTTGGCAGCCGTTGGTCATTTTGATAGGATTTATTATGGATTCAAAAGCGTCACAGTCATACCACTTTGGTAGATATGGAATTCCACCCACTTTTGGCAGTACACAAAAAGGAAACCACTTGATGGATTGTTAAGAACACAAATTATGCCTCATCAGGACTTCAAAGCAAGTTCTAATACTGCCACGTTGCTTTGGAAAGAAATAGTCTCCCTCTCTGAACAAAAAGACTGTTTCAAATCCCCTCTTTTTTTGTACTGATGGGGTAGTGTTTGGTGAGTCTTTGACTTGCAGTCCTTAGTACTTGATTCCAAATATATACGTTGTGGGTTGTTACGGTTGGAATCATACTGAAGTAAAATTTTAATGGAGGCTACTGACATCGGACTCTAGACCCATAATGTCCACCATGATTTGAGCTTGAATCCATTTTGTGATTTGTTCCCTGGTAAGGTCTAGATGGACAGCTAAACAGTTTGCTGGTGTGGATCTTTGCTGAGTATGTGGTATGCAGACAATCACAGCCCAGGAAGTGTAGTATAACCTCCATAATGTCTGTCCAGTGCTTGACTGTTTCTAGGTCTTACCAAGGGCTGTGCCTAATAACTGTGTTTCTGTTGTTTCTAATCATTCTAATCTAGTGAATGTAATAAGAACTTTGCCATGGTCACATTTCCACTCCACATTCCATTAGAATATAATTCAAGCACCATCACCACTACAACTACATGTAGTAGTTATGGTGCAGGAGTGCCTTGGCACCTCCATTGTAAATAAACAGTTTTTGAATCATTTCACTTCTTACCTGTGATCCACTGGGCGCCACACGGCAGGGCTTAGCTCAAACACAGAACGTCCGTCTTTCCATTGGCTGTGGAGGCGGGGAGCAGATGGCTCCATCCATCTTTGACCCATACATGGGTATGGAAAATGTTGTTCTAGTCCGGAGTCTACACCACCCCATGGGATCTGGGCCAGGTCTATGTTCAAACTGTATTCCTTGATGTGTGAGTTGTGCTTGAATTACAGGTGCACACGCCTAATGTTTATGATGAAAGATTTTGGCCACTCCATGTGTGAAATGGTGGCCATTCTATTCTTCATATGTGCACAATTTTTTTGCATGAGTTTAACAGCAGAAAGTCTGTGCATTGTGTCAGACAGGTATTTTTGTAGTTCCACGGAATGGAGCTTCATGATGCTGCGTTAACATCTCAAGCAGGATGACATGATCTCACAGATGTGAGTAAACTCTTTCCTTAAAGGGTATTTGTAATTCCAGGTACAACTTACAGAGCATTGTCACAGGTTTGTGGTGAATGGGCTCAGTATGCAGAGATTTTAAATGGATACAGTCACGGAGTTCAAGGTTTTAATTATAAGGCAAAGTAAATCTAATTGAAAAGTCCCAATGCAAAACAGAAGTGGTAAATAAGACAGAATCTTGACTGGCAGATCAAGAATTAAAAAGTTATTTACCAAAGCATCGGTGCTGGCTAAATGATGCAAAGGCTTAATCAAAGCTAGAGAAGGTTTGGCAGGGGTTAACCAGAGCTGGAACATGAGTGCAGGGGTTAACTAGGATTGGAACAGGCTTAAGGAGCTTGTGACCTTGGCTTCTGTGCTTAAACAGAAAAGAGAGAGGGGACACCCACCTACAAGGGCCCATATAATCAGAGGGCCTCTCCAATGCAGGCAAGTGTCCATGCCACCTATGTGGGCAAGATGCTCTGTCCTTTTAAGCATCCAAGTGGCTGCCTCCCCAGCACTATTCCCGAATATACCCCCCCAGGGTTCTGACACCCTGAGGAGAAAAATACAGCATTAATTTAAGCCAATATCAAGTGCACTTAAATTGTATTGGTGCCCGTATTGTCCCTTTAAGTATTGCATTTTCGATGTAAGAGAAAAAATGAAATAAAATGCAGTTTATTTAATTGTTGTCTATCCTGCTAAACCTTGCATACATAATGCCAAAGCAGTTATTGGAATTTAGAACTGCTCACTTAATACTTGAAAACCATACAGCTAAAACAATTTTTATTATGTCTACTCACTTAAGCTTTAATAATCCATTTAATCAAATCCCAAATTCTAAATTAAAAAATATAGTTCCGATGCACTTTTTTATTTTCCTTCATTTCCTAAAATTCTTTCAAGAGGGAAAAAAAGAGAGCTTTTTTTTTTCGTTTCTTAACTCAATCTGTTTATCAATGGCCTGAGATAAACAAAAAAAGAATTGGCTACAAATTTTTACAGCCTTGGTTTGAAAGGTACAAAAGCAAACTCTTATAAGGACGAGTCTTTCTCCAATTAATTCTCTCCAAGAATGTGTCTTTGTTATAACCAGTATTTGAGGCCCAACCCGGGATATAAATGTAGATTAAAAGCCAGTTCACAGAGAACGTAGTATGTAAGGACTCTGCATCGTGAACGGAATCTTAAAGGACTAGCCTCGTCTTCTTTTGTTTCTTCCTAGATCAGCAGGCTATTGACAACCTCCATTTTCATTGTAGAGCAGCCAAACGTCTCTGTCCTAAATCCATTCACCCCACGGGTTGGGACTGTGGGAATATGAGCGTGAAAACTAGATTTCAAAGAGAACTTCAGATACCTTTTGGGTTTCATGCGGCTTGCATTGAATATAGGAAATAGAGCTGTGAATGCTTACAGATGTATGCAGGCCGACCCACTCACGTTCAGCTGAAACCCAGCAAATGTAGGCAACTAGGCTGACTTTCAAAAGAGAATGCAAGAACAATGGTCCTGTTCAAAGACAAGCAGTTGTAATATCAGGTGGTCCAATATGTGAATAATAATAATTCCTCTTTCAGATAATTCCTCTTGTTTTTCTTGAAGTGGTTGGTTGTATTTCAAAGAATGTAATAAGTCAATCACTGACCAAGAACCAGATTTTGAACATTGGGTAGATGCAGTATTGTATGTTGTAACAGATATCCCTTTACCCCAGCTGAGTACCTCCGCCAAGGACCGCTTCCTAGCTGGAACAGGGGACAAGCCGCAGCACTTCTGCCCACAGTCGCCGTGGCTTGACTGGGGCCCTGGAACCGCTCCTTCCTGGAGCCAAATGGGGAATTAGCTCTAGTCCTTTCAAGGACTTTCCCAGTTGAATCCCCTGCAAGCTGGAACAGCAGACACAGGAGTAAATCTTCTTTCCCTCCAATAACAGGACGACACACCGTCTTGTAGTGTAAGCTGGAATAGCAGTTTAATGGAGGCACACTGCCTTTTATGCAAGTTTTCCAACAAGGTTGACGCCCAGGTGGACCACGTTGGGCACAGGACACAAAGTATACAAGCCAATCAAAACAATGTAATTATGAACGGCACTCCCACATACAGTACACAATCCTTCCCCTTTGCCTGTGATACAATTAAGGTAGATAATACAATAACGTAATTATCCCCAGACAGAAAAAACATACATTATTACAAAGTCCCATAAGTACCCTGTTACGGTTGCCTCCAGGCTGGCTGGAAGTTGGACCGTAGAAATGCTCCTAGCGCTCACCAAAGGACCATCAGCACCGTAGACGCTATAAGCACTGCAGACTCCACAAACCGCCACTGCTGGGCTGGGATCTCGCCGTCTGCTATCCACCCTGGACCTACGACCAGGCTCCAGTACGTGAACCTCTTCCTTCTGTAGAGCGAAGCAGGATCAGGAACAAGAGCTCTTACAAGAGCTCAGTAGCTAAGGGAGTATGAAGAGCATAGCAATCCCTGTAGTGATTATAGCTGTCCCCTACAAACATGAGTCGAGGCTGCAAGTTAGAGGGTCAAGTAGTTCTTTAATTGGCACCGAAGGGCCTTCTTTTATGGAGGTCTTACACATACAGGACCGTCCACAGGGTTTTGCAGAACAACCAATAAACACGTAACATACAGTAAAAACACACCCATCAATAACACACAAATCCTACACTTTTTATACACATACAGTGTAACTTTAAAAATATACGTCCAATCTTCATAAATTACATATTTACAGAATCAGCATACTTTAAATATAAACATAACCAAAAATCACACACATCCCTCCAGTGGATAAAATGTTAGATGGAAGTCCTTTATGACCGACCGCAAGCACATTTTCATGCCCAAAACTGTTCCATAGATTTGGGCTGTGCGTTTGGTCTATTTCAGGCAGAAAGATGTACCATTCGAATGCACGAACGAGGCCGTTCGTGCATTTGGCTCAGTATAACAGTGAGTTCAAACTGCCGAACGTGACTTAGTCTCTGGGGCTTCAAACATAGTGTAGGAAAAGGTAAGGGTCAGCGTTCGGTTGAAAAAAGATGCATGAACTGCGGCCCCCCAGCGGTCAGCAATTTACCTTCAGCAGGCTCCCAGCCTGGGAGGTAAATTGCCTGCACGCTTCCACTTCTGGGTGGTCCGCCTGTGTGGTACTTGGTTCAGTAAGCCCCATTTACTGAACCAAGTGTAAAGAAGCCATGAATAAAGTATTTTAACCAAATCTGGGGACACGGGGGACACAGGCTTAAAGGGGCAGTGTCCCAAACAAGTCTGGGGACACAGTCTTAAAGGAGCATTGTCCCAATTTTCCCTATGTCCCAAAAATGTGCTTAAAGGGCCAGCACCAGTCCCATAACAGTCCATAAGCCCCAAAATGCTCACAAACTGTTCTTAAAGGGCCATACACACCAGGGCCATAGTCATGAGGAAGGAGGCTGGCAGTAAGGGAAGCAGGGCAATATGTCACTTAAAGAGACAGTTACAAAAGGCATTTTTTAACATACCCCAAAATACAACATATCCCCATAAAATCACATCCCCTGATCGCCTTGATCTGCGTGCACAACATATCCAAACATCACCCAGATCAGAGCAGGGGCTCAAAAATTCCATGAAAGTCCTACATTTGACCGACCGCACGCATGGCTCCATGCCCACAACCGTTCCATGAAATCAGTGCTAACAGTTGGTCAACTCCGGTAGTCTTTTACAGGTTTCCCTGCAGGGTCCATAGTCTGTGGGCAGGAGGCTGGCAGGCAGGCTTCTCCAGGAGCTCGTGGCAAACTTGGGTAAAAAAGGGAGTTTGCCACATATGTCTTCTTTTCAAAATTGTTGACTTAACAATTCCAAACATAGCATCACATTGCGAATGATTTTTAATGAGAATTACATTCTTTTTCCAACAGATGAACATGAAGCTGGGCCTGCAGTTATTACTCATCGACCTCTTGGTTCATACAGCGTGTGGTTTTATCTTCGGCACAGAAAGAAATTTAGGTACAGTATACTGTCCACTTGGCTTTTCTTGATCTAGCTAATCTTGTCCTATATCACTAAATTATTTATAAAGGTTTCAGTTTAAACAAAGAAGAGCTAATTTGTCACCAATACAGTAATCGACCCTGTACACAAATAATGTCAATGGTCTTTTTTTGCTTCATATTCTGCATTATCTCATACAGAAGATCATAAAACCTTGAAAGTGAAGATAAGAAATTCCACCACTTCTCCTGTGTTGGCTGGTACTCTCAACTTACCGTGCCACATCACCTATAAGACTCCACTAGAATCAACAAATGTTGGTCGCCAGGCTGTCTTGGCCTCCCCTCGAGTGAAATGGAGCTTCATCTCTAATGGAAAGGAAGTAGAGATCTTGGTGGCTCGGGGACACAAAGTAAAAATCAGTGAGGGGTACAGATTTCGTGCCAGTCTGTCGCACTATTCCAAGTCAGCAGATGACCTTACTCTGGTCCTGAATGAGCTGAGGACCAATGACTCTGGAATTTATCGATGCCATGTGCAGTACGGCATTGAAGATGACCACGACAAGGTAGAGGTGAAAGTTAAAGGTAATGGACAATAAGAAGCAGCAAAAACATTTAGAGGTGGAGTCATCTTAATATATAGTAGGTTCTTACCTACTATTTTTGCGTTTATTATTTATTTTTAACATGTCAGGTGGAAAAAATTAGATGATAGCATTGATGTAATCCATGTTATAATTATGGCTCCGCAGATGTAATCATATATAAGTCGGCCTAATTACTGCACATTAACCCTAACCCGCATTAATTTTTTTTATTCACCATTTACATGTAATGACTCTCAATCATAGGTATATAGTGTGTGTGTGCCAGCCTTAGGCACTACAACTCATTTGTGCTTCAGCCATCCAACAAGCTGTCTATCCCTACTGATATTTATGCATGTAACGTACTATATATTAAAACCCATGTTCTAACATCCTCTGCCCGCCTCATTTCCCAGGGGTCGTGTTCCTGTATCGGGAGGGTGTCAACCGCTATGCATACAATTTCTTTAAGGCACAGGAAGCCTGTGCCAAGATTAAGGCCCACATAGCCACGGCAGATCAGCTCCTGGCCGCCTATTACAGTGGATACGAGCAGTGTGATGCTGGCTGGATCGCTGACCAAACTGTCAGGTGGGATACCTTTTTGGGTTCTGCTGAAAATGCTATGTTTTATCTCTAAAATCCAACACAATGTAGACTATATAATGTTCTGTGCTTTCCAGGTACCCAATTCAAACACCAAGAGAGGGCTGCTTTGGGGATATGGATGGTTACCCTGGAGTGAGGAATTATGGCATCCTGGACCCAGATGACATGTATGATGTTTACTGTTATGTGGAAGAACTCAATGGTAATCTCATTACTGTAAATACAGATGTAGCTTTTTTATGTTTTATGAATGAAAATCACTTAATCTCAATATAGCTACAGAGGTGGTGCATTCTTGTCTCCGTCCTGCATGCTTCTCCTCACTGGCTTCTCTGCTCAGTCTGTCTCTGTCTTGTCTGTCTTGGTCTCAGTTACTGCTCTGTTCTGTCTGTCTTGACACAGTTACTTCTCTGCTGTCTGTCTCTGTCTTGACACAGTTACTTCTCTGCTCTGTCTGTCTCTGTCTTGACACAGTCACTTCTCTGCTCTGTCTGTCTCTGTCTTGACACAGTCACTTCTCTGCTCTGTCTGTCTCTGTCTTGACACAGTTACTTCTCTGCTCTGTCTGTCTCTGTCTTGACACAGTCACTTCTCTGCTCTGTCTGTCTCTGTCTTGACACAGTTACTTCTCTGCTCTGTCTGTCTCTGTCTTGACACAGTCACTTCTCTGCTCTGTCTGTCTCTGCCTTGACACAGTCACTTCTCTGTATTGTCTATCTCTGTCTTGGCACAGTTACTTCTCTGTATTGTCTGTCTCTGTCTTGGCACAGTTACGTTTCTGCTCTATCTGTCTCTTTCTTGACACAGTTAATTCTCTGTATTGTCTGTCCTGGCACAGTTACTTCTCTGCTCTATCTGTATCTGTCTTGGCACAGTTACTTCTCTGCTCTATCTGTATCTGTCTTGTCTGTCTTGGCACAAATACTGATCTCTTCTGTCTTTGTCTGTCTCTGTCTTGGCACAGTTATTTCTCTGCTCTGTCTGTCTCTGCTCTGTCTGTCTTGACACAGTTACTTCTCTGCTCTGTCTGTCTCTGTCTTGACACAGTTACTTGTCTGTCTCTGTCTGTCTCTCTGTCTTGGCACAGTTATTTCTCTGCTCTGTCTGTCTCTGTCTTGACACAGTTACTTCTCTGCTCTGTCTGTCTCAGTCTTGACACAATTACTGCTCTGCTCTGTCTGTCTTGACACAGTTACTTCTCTGCTCTGTCTGTCTCTGTCTTGACACAGTCACTTCTCTGCTCTGTCTGTCTCTGTCTTGACACAGTCACTTCTCTGCGCTGTCTGTCTCTGTCTTGACACAGTCACTTCTTTGCTCTGTCTGTCTCTGTCTTGACACAGTCACTTCTCTGCTCTGTCTGTCTCTGTCTTGACACAGTCACTTCTCTGCTCTGTCTGTCTCTGTCTTGACACAGTCACTTCTCTGCTCTGTCTATCTCTGTCTTGGTACAGTTACTTCTCTGTATTGTCTGTCTCTTTCTTGGCACAGTTACGTTTCTGCTCTATCTGTCTCTGTCTTGACACAGTTAATTCTCTGTATTGTCTGTCCTGGCACAGTTACTTCTCTGCTCTACCTGTATCTGTCTTGTCTGTCTTGGCACAAATACTGATCTGCTCTGTCTTTGTCTGTCTCTGTCTTGGCACAGTTATTTCTCTGCTCTGTCTGTCTCTGCTCTGTCTGTCTTGACACAGTCACTTCTCTGCTCTGTCTGTCTCTGTCTTGACACAGTTACTTCTCTGCTCTGTCTGTCTCTGTCTTGTCACAGTCACTTCTCTGTATTGTCTGTCTCTGTCTTGGCACAGTTACGTTTCTGCTCTATCTGTCTCTTTCTTGACACAGTTAATTCTCTGTATTGTCTTTCCTGGCACAGTTACTTCTCTGCTCTATCTGTATCTGTCTTGGCACAGTTACTTCTCTGCTCTATCTGTATCTGTCTTGTCTGTCTTGGCACACATACTGATCTGCTCTGTCTTTGTCTCTGTCTTGGCACAGTTATTTCTCTGCTCTGTCTGTCTCTACTCTGTCTGTCTTGACACAGTTACTTCTCTGCTCTGTCTGTCTCTGTCTTGACACAGTTACTTCTCTGCTCTGTCTGTCTCGACAAAGTTACTTCTCTGCTCTGTCTGTCTCTGTCTTGACACAGTTACTTATCTGCTCTGTCTTTATCTGTCTTGGCACGGTTCTTTCTCTGCTCTGTCTGGATCTGTTTTGGCACAGTTACTTCTCTGTTCTGTCTGTCTCTGTCTTGTCTGTCTTTGCACAGTTACTTTTCTGTTCTGTCTGTCTCTGTCTTGTATGTCTTGGCACAGTTAATTATCTGCTCTGTCTGTCTGTCTCTGTCTTGGCACAAATACTGCTCTGCTCTGTCTTTGTCTGTCTCTGTCTTGGCACAGTTATTTCTCTGCTCTGTCTGTCTCTGTCTTGTCTGTCTTAGCACAGTTACTGCTCTGCTCTGTCTGTCTCTGTCTTGTCACAGTTACCTATATGCTATTTATCTGTCTCAGTCCTGTGTGCCTCTTCTCAGTGACCTCTAAGTGCTTTCCTTATCGTGTCTGTCTCTCCAGGTGACAACTCTTCTCTTACTGTCTCTATCATGTATGTCTCAATACGGTCACCTCTATGTCTCTGTCCCGTCTGCCTGTGATTGGCTCCTTCTCTGCTCTCAGTCTCTGTCTTCGCAACCTCTGATACTGAATTCTCTGTTCTCCTTCTTTCTACATGCACTTAATTTTTCTACACAGTGATGTCTCTGCCCCCTGTACTCTTTCTGCTTTTCTTCAGTGTCGTCTCTGCTCCTCCTGTCTGTCCTATTTCCTCTCCTCTATTGCCTCCCTGTTCTTCCTCTGGGCTGTTCCTTTGTGACTCTACTCGATGGCCCCACTCATCTGTCACACCTTTCTTTCTATCTTCTTCCTGCTATCAGCATCAGTCATGCACCCATCACTCATGCCACGGCTTCCTTGTTGATGAGGAAACTGTCCAACATGTTCTAAGCTATCTCCAACTCCAAGTCACAAACAAGACTGTAAATGGAACAAAATCATTAGTCATTCTCAGTCTTTGTTCACTTTCTCTAATGTCATTACAGAACAAAGATATCAGAAGGATGCATGGGGATTTATGATGCTGGATTAAAAGTAATAATAAACATTTATTAGTTGATTAAATAGTTAGATATTCCATTTAATGATGTTTTGTTATATATACACTGTTAATGAGATGTGAAATATCATCTAGTCATAACCATGTATCATTGAAGACCCCAAACTATGTCTACCTACCCTTTCCCAACAGCTTAGTATTTCTTATGAGAATGTCAGCTCTGTATATCATTGCTGTGATCAAACTTACTGTTAATTATTGTGGTAACTTCTGTTTTTTCCCCCTTCGCCTTAGGAGAGGTGTTTTTAGGTTCTACACTCAACAAATTTACCCTAGAGGAGGCCAAAGATTACTGCAGGACGCTGGGTGCACAAATAGCAACAACAGGACAGCTGTACTCAGCATGGAGTGAGGGAGTGGACTTCTGCAGCCCTGGGTGGCTTTCTGATGGCAGTGTGCGTTACCCCATTGTGACACCAAGAGAAAGATGTGGGGGGAATTTACCCGGGGTAAAAACAATTTTTCAGTTCCGCAATCAAACTGGTTTTCCAGACTCCAGTTCCAAATATGACGTATACTGCTTCAGAGGTAAAGACTTCTAAAGTACTTACTGAGCTGCTTGAGAGGGTTGACAAATATATCGTCTATGTAACATAATTCCAGAGCTTTGTTTACATGCACATAATAGAACACGTAGATGTGGAGAGAGAGAGAGCTCTCATTAAGTACTCCGGATAGTAATATTGTGTGGCAAAAGCACAAGAAAGCCAAGCAGTTAGAGGAATTTTGGTGAATAATAAAAATGATTACCCCATCCATTAGATGGTTGGTTTTTAGTGGGTAAAGTATTCACAATAGATAGATATATGAGAACACTTCATACTTGTTCTGGTTGTGACTTTCTCTCCAAGTGAGGGGAATGGTATGTAGTCACTGCCCATTGCTTGCCATGTCTATCTAACCCGACAACTTTTCCTAATTTTTGTTTTGCACCCTTTGTGCCTACATAACTGGTGTTAAATGGAAAGTCTGTTTTTTTTAAATTCTTTATTTATTCCAAGACAGGGTAACAAAAATAAAGCGTACAAATCAAGATAACAGTGCGTACCATCATAACTTTGTTCAATCATGATTTCCATGTTCATTTACATATTGCCAGCAAAATTACAGGCAGTAACATTGTAACAATAGAGATCTTGAAAAGCTTTAGCGACCATGTATCGTGAAGTAGAGCATGGATTCATATAGTAGCGTATATCCCGTCTCGGATTTTTGTTTAAATAGAAAGGAAAGACGTTCCTATGCCACCATACACACAGTTGTCAGAGAACATTGAGATGTTATATGGTCCATAAGTACGTCCCGGTTAGAAATACCCCAGGGTAGTATTGTATCTGCAAGCGTTCACACGTGGTCTCTGCAGTTCGTTAGCGACCATAAGTCGTAGATTTGTAAGTCATAAAAGGGAGAGAGAAGATGAGAGTAAGAAGAGTGATAGAACAGGACGTCCCTCAAATAACAAAGAGGTTTGTGAGAGGTAAAAACAGTGTGGTGTTATATTTATTCATGCTTTGGGGCATTTCAGGTCTCTAGCATCTCCCAGGGGGATCCCCCAGGTCTCTAGACAGAAGATGACATGCATGAGGCTGTGGGTCGTTAACGAAAGTAAGATTGTCGGTGCGCTCGGGGGACCGAGC